GAGCACTCGGCCTGAATCAGAAAGACCTGAGTTTCAATCTCACCTCAGATGTTAGCTGTGACCCTGAGCAAATCATTTAACCTCTATTTTCCTCAGTTTCTTCAACTATAAAATGGGGGTGATAAGCACCTTCCTCACAGGGTTGTTGTGAGGATCAAATGATATATTTGTAAATTATTAGCACAGTATTTGCTATATAAATATTTATTCCCTTCCTTTCCTCCTCCTTTCATCCTGGGCTAGTTCCTTGTCCATAATAAATGTTAATTTTTCCACAGGACAATTGATGGCAACTAGTACCCTGTTTCTTCAGGAGTTACCTATTAAGGTAATCATTAAATTAAGTAGCTGGACTAACTCAGCCTCCCCATAGCCTCACTATTACCACCCCCAAGTCTTGTTAGTAAGTCCAGCTTGCTCCTTCATCCAGACTATCAAAGTTTAAGTTACCTTTAAGAGGAGTTCTATCACCTAGCTGCTGACCTTGGGGAGATGATGGGGGGAAATTTCCTCTTTCTCCTCTTTGAACTGATACATCTGCATTTATCAAGCAAAAGTCTAAAAGTGAAAAGCTACCATCACTATCCCAGCCTCTTTCCTTCATGAGATTCTACTCTGCAGACTCAAGACTTAAACATCAGTTGAGATTCACCTTTTCTGATTCTCAAGTCAGACTCTTGAAAGGGCCAAGTGATTGTCATAGGAAGCTATGAACTTGGCCTCATAGAATGGTGCTCTCCCTGACCTTTCATTTCCTTATCATTTCAGTCCCACCCTCAGGCCTTCAGTCTGCCTCACCTATCAATATAACCTGGGGAGCTAGAAAAGATTATATGTTAATGAAGCATTCATTTTTCATTGCATGATCATTTTTCCTTCTACCCTTGAAAAACAAAACAAAGCAAAAAAAAAAAAAACATTCATAATGGGACTGTTGCTCTATTGTGTTAAGGAGTGATGCAGAAAAGAAGCTAATAACTGATTATCACCTCTCTGACCTGAACTTCCCTAAGGAAAGACAGAAGCCCTGCCCTATAGACCACCAAGTCAGAACAATTAGATGTCCTCTGGATTAGTCTGAATAGGATTGAAATGTTTTGTTTGTTTTTTTTTTCTTGTTAAGAAAAAGAGAGTTTCAGGCTCCCTCAAAATTAGATAAAAAACAAAGCTTGAGTGGGCTATCCAATGCTGTTTAAGATATTTCTAAGCTACTTTCTGGCACTTTTTTTTTCAGCCAAATACAAAGTTTATTAAAGATCTGCCATATTAGCCAGACTCTTGAGGAATCTGAGAGTCTGTGAGGTAGTGGCTAGATTCTAAGAATCTGAGCAGTGGCTGAATTTTAAGAATCTAAGCAGTGGCTAGATTATAAGAATCTAAGCACCTTAATGGAGACAAGATGGACCTTATATATAGAAAGACTGTGGCAGAGATCTAGGAGTGGTCAAGTAATCTGGAGTGACTGGATGAAGGGTCTAAGGAAGATCTGAATGGGAGTGGCCAGTAAGCTGGGGTGAACTGAACTCCTGGGACCTGATCAATGGAGCTTAGTGGGAAGGCTAGGCTAGGTTAAGGGTAACAGAGAATTGGGAGATTGGGTGTAGCCACAATGAAAGGCCAATTGATGGAATTATGGCCTCAGGCAAATGCCAGAGGTTTAGCCATGTGGTAAAGTCCAGGGTTTTTCCTTTTTGGGGTCTAGCTCCCATTCTCATCATTCCCCCTTCAAACAAATGGGACCCAAATTCTTTTGGTGTAAGGGGTGAAGGTCTTGGCTTCTGAAACTGCTTCCTGCTGGCAAGGGGCGTAGAGCTGTCCCTGCCTCGAGAGGGTCCCAAAGAGGAGGTTGCCTGGAACTGAGCACAGGCTGCATCCAGGGAATGATGGGGGGGGACATTGGGTGGTACCCGCTGTTTTGCTACCAACTATAGGTGAACAACCTGTAGTCTGGAAGACACAAATCTGACAGAAAAAACTGCAGGGCCCAAATATAAAGCAGGGACTAAATTTAGGGCCCAACTTTGAGAGGATAAAACATTCTTAGCTCTATTTGGATTCAGATAATTCAGTTTTCCAACCATGCAGTATCA